CGCCGCTCGTCCCCGACGTCCCCGCCGCGGACCCCGGCCCCGGGCCCGCCGCGCCGCGCGGGGGCACCGCCGTCATCCTGGACGTGAGTACGCGCCCGCCGCGACCCCTCCTCCCCAAGGGGACCCCGGGGCCGCCGGGGCGTGCGGGACCCTCGGGAGGACCCTCACCTCTGCGGCCGCGCCCCCAGGCTCCAGCCCCCTACCCGGGCACCGCACGACCCTCCTCCGCATCCCCTCCCTCACTTTCCCGTTACCGGGACCCCTTCTCCTCTCGGACACCCCATGCCGCTGGGGCGCGAGACCCTCACCCCTGCGTCCGCGCAGGGACAGGGAAGGTCCCTCATCCCTGTATCCATGCCCGGACCCTCATCCCTGCGTCCGCGCCAGGATAGGGAAGGACCCTCATGCCTGTATTCATGCCTGGACCCTCTTCCCTGCGTCCATGCCCGGACCCTTATCCCTGCGTCTGCGCCAGGATAGGGAAGGACCCTCATCCCTGCGCCCAAGCCCTATCTCACCTCTGCTTTCGGAACCCCTTTAGGTCTGGACCCTCACCCCTGCATCCTCGCCCCGAGCGCCAGCCCCTACGGCTGTGGCGCCTGTCCCCACCCAGGGCCGGACGACATCCCCTTCTTCCCATGTTCTCATTCCCGCATCCCATAGCCGGGACTCCTCCTCCCCGTGGGGACCCCATGCCGCTGGGGCAGGACCCTCACCCCTGCATCTGCGACAACCCCCCCCCCAGAATGCCAACCCCTCCTCCAACCTGTCCCCAACCCAAGACCCTCTCCTTCTTTCCAGCACCCCATTGCCGGGACCCTTTGGGCCTCCCAAGTCTGGCCACCACTCCCCTGTTCTGGTCCCAACAACCTGCTCACTTGACATCCAACGGTTGGGACATGAGTCCCAGACACCGCCAGCCCCCTCCTCTCTATCTGGGATTCCTTCCTGCGGTGATACTTTTTGGAGACCTCCTAACAGACCCGCACCTCTCTTTCACTCATCTTTGCTCCCTTTATCCCTGCTGTGCGACTTTGGGAGTGCAGCCTTCTCCCCCCTCCCCCCACCTCCTTGCCATAGACTCAGAATCATTGCCTGGACCTGGGAGGGGGCTCACCCCCACCCACCTTGAGTTTCCTGTCCTCCACTCTCTTCCTTGCTACCCTCCCCTACCTAGAGTTCCCATCATACTCTGGGACCCCAGACTCACTCCTCACCCAACAAACTGCTCCCCCAGTCAGAGTGGGGGTATCTGGAGAGTCTTCCCATAAAGAGGGAAGGGGGCTTTGGAGGGGGTGGGGCTGCTCCCAGGGAGTGCCTTTGTACTGTCAGGCATTTCTTGGAAGAATTGGGGGTGTTTTTGAATGTGCCAGTTTGTGTGTGTGTACCACGCATCCCTACAAGTATCGGGGTGGGCTGAATTTCCCATCTCTCCCTTCCCTTCCCTTGCCAGATCTCAGAGCCCATAAGTGGGTCTGGGCAGGAGGGCTGTGGGGGGGTGTGTTCTAGTGCCTCTGTGTACATACAGGCAGGGGTGGGGCACGCGCATACACACAGTGGGATGCGGGCAGAGTCCTGGGCAGAGGCAGCCACCCTTTGAGGGAAGCCCTACCGGCCCATCCCACCTCCTGGCTTGCTGCTGTGTTCTGGCTCTGAGCCTCTAATTGCTCAAGAAGTGGGTAAGGAATTGGGGGAGGGTGTTACTCCCACAGCCTCCTGGAGCCACCTTACCAGGTGTCAGCTGAGGCCTTGTCAGTGACTTTGTTTAATACCTAGGCCCTCCAGGGTCTGGAGATACCCAGAGGGTGGGCAGTTCTCCCTGAGCCCTGCTTTGAGGGCCATGGGTGCCTTGTCACTTGTTTGTGGGGTGCAGTGAGCAGGCCATCTGTCCTTTGCCCCAAGGAGAGGACTGGAGATGGGACACTTCGGGGGAGCACCTCCTGCTTGACTCACCAGGTCTCCAGCAGACCTCTCTGAGTCTGGGAAAAGCCAGGGGGACCTGAGCATGCCACTAGGCTGGTTTCCTTCTGGCTAAAATGAGCCCATTCCAGAAGGTCTCTGGGACCATCTCAGACCTTATAATGCTGGGATGTCAGACCCCAGCAGATCTGGCTGAGATCCAAGTCCTGACTCAGCAGGTTCAGGGTAGGCCCTAGGTACTGCTTGGACCTTGAACCCCCTTTCTTTGACTTGCAAACCCCTCTTCTGTGCGTTGGAAGTTCCTAATGGACACTTTACCTGCTTGGAGCTGCTGGCCTACCTGCCTTGGGGTGTGGCCTGGGCTGAGGGATTTGCAAAGTTCTGTTCAATTGTCAGAATCACCATCCTGACCCTGGGAACCCAGCACCTATCACCAAATGACCTTGTGTGTCAGTGAGGCCCAAGTTTGGGCTCCCCCATCTCCAGACCCTTCTAGCTGCAGCCAGAACATTCCTGCCTGCCGCTCCCCCATCCCCAAATGATACCAACCCTCCTGTGGCAGATCTTATCACCAGCCTTCGAGATCACCTCCTGCAGAGGGGACCCAGGCAACCTGGGACTGGGGGGAGGTGGGGTCTGGAGAGTGAGCCCTGTGAAGGCAGGGGGCCCCCATGGGCTTCTGAGCCGAGCGTGGCTGGGTGCAGCTGTGTTTGGCAGTGGGGGAGTCTCGTGAAATGACAAGTGGACGTACACCTGCAGGGATGCCTGTGGGTGTGCGTGAGTGTGCAGTGTGCCTGTGTGAGTCTATCAGCGGCCGTGGGCAGGCTGGCAGCGCAGAGGGAGAGGGGGTGGCAGTTTTGAGGTAGCATGGGGAGGGGCCTCTGCTGGAAACAGCCTCCCTCCACCCTGGATGCCAGCCTGAGGGTCTCCTGGGGAAACTCAGTCTCCCAGCTTCATCCTAGCCTGCTTCTGGGACAGGGACCTCCATGGGGGGGGGGTCAGAGGCTACTGAGGGCACCCGCCTAGGCCCAGCCCAAGACTGACTCCAGCTCTCCTCTCCGCAGATTTTCCGTCGGGCGGATAAAAATGGTGAGTTTCTCCTGGGTGCTCCGTGCTGCCACTGCACTACCTGTCCTGATACTTAATGGAAGGCTCGGGGCCGAGGACCCAGACAACTGGGAACCTCAAGTCCAGCAACCAAATCCTGTCACAGTCCATGCCTCAGTTTCCCCCTCTGCAAGCTGGGGTGATGAGATCTGTCCTGTGTACTGCTCTGGGCTTTGGACAAAGCCAAAGAGATGTGGGTAACCAGTAGACAGTGAAAGAAAACCAGAGAGCACTGTGTTCATCTATGTAGGAAGTACTCAGGAGGCCTGGCCTGGGCGGGGGACAGGGTAGGAATAAATGGCAGTCATCTGTTCTAGAGGCTCAGATTCCCTTCCCCAGTAGGCTTGAGTTCAGGGTGGCACCTCTGGCCTATCCCAGCTCCCCCCTTGGTCCCTTGGAGCTCTTGACTGCGCCCATGTGACCAGTCGGATGGGGTGGAGGTCTTCAGGGAATAGAAGTGCAGAAGGAACAGGCTTGGGCTAGAATCAGGGCAGAGGGGTATCCCTGTCCCTGGCCCTGTCTTGGGGGTGGCATGCCTCCTCCCAGGCCTTGGGGTAAAGGACCACCTGCAGGTTCCATGTGGGGCACAGAGATGCAGGGGAATCAAGTGGTACCAACACCAACACCAGGTGGCTTTGTGGAAAGAGGCCTGGCTTCCACCGGCTCTGCAGGTCTCTGGAGTTCAGCAGACAGTAGGCCTAATACTGCGCTCCACTGGCCCCTACTACTCCCACAGGTTGGGTCTTTGCAGGCTGGGATTTGGGCTTGTCTCCCGTGTTGAGCTCACTGTCCAAGGCACATCAGGTCCTCTGTCAGTGTGTGCAAATCTCGGTTAAAGGGAGCCTCCCCGGTGAGAGCAAGGACAGGCTGTGGGATGTAGTTGGGGCTGTTTCTGGATGAGGCCACACCTCCTGTGTCTGCGTGGCTGCGTCACCTTAGGAATGCCAGTGTGCACAGAGCTCACGCGTGGAGTTCCAGTGTCATCTGTGGCTGTAGGGGGTTGTTACGGGACTAATGCTGTTCCAGCAGAAGCACCCCAACCTGGGATAAGGGAGGTGCGGCTGGACCCCTCAGCTTCCCATCTTGGGACAGTGCAAGGTCAACCTTAACTGTCTGGATCCCATCCTGGTTCAACCGGGTATTGGTCTGTGACCCAAGGAAAGTGACTACACCTTAGGGACCTCTGTTTACCCCCTATAAATGAGAAAACCAGCTCAGATCTTTGATGGCTGTCGGAGAAGGGCTCCAGTCCTGGCTCACTCTAAGAACTCAGTGAGCCCTTGCCAGAACCAAGCAGCATTAGAACACCTTGGAGACCCCTGGGCTGTGGGCAGAGCTTTTGGACAGGCTACTGGAGCACTATTAGGACATCTGGCTGGGATCAAGTGCTCCCCCTTTGGAGGTCTGCCAGCTGGTGGCAGGCAGAGGGCTTGTGGGGTTCTAACTCAACACTGAGGTTCAAAACCATGTGGAGGTGGGCTCAGGTGTTAACCCAACCAGGACATGGATAGAGCAGGTGAGACGGATACAAAATCTGGAGAGCCCTGCCCATCAGCCTCCCCCGGGTGTCCACAGAAGGTTGGGAAGATGCTTGGGGGTGCGGGAGATGGCTGGTCCATCAGCTGAGGGTTGAGGGCTGGCCTGTTACAGGGGCTTCCATGATGAGGACTGATTTGACTATGATGGACCAGGGTAACGGATCCCCAAAGGAAGACTAGGAGGAGGGGCCTC